ATTACATCAAGAAAAATACATAAAACGGAAATTACAACCATACAAAGCCTGATTCTGACTTCCTCTCTGAGTTATGGAACAAAACGCCTCAAATACCACTTGTTTCAAAGCCTTTCTCGGACCTGGGTATGTCAGAGTTTCCAAAGGTTCTCAAGGGACCCCGGGCAGTGCTTACACCCAGGTTCATAGAACCAAATAGAGAAGAGTGCAATGTGGAAGGGCCAGCCCTTATGTGTCCAAGTTCAGAGGGAGCTCATGTGTCCCAAGGCAAGGCTCACTCAAGAGGAGCAGAACTTAAGTCTAAGAATGATAGTGGAAGTGCAGGAATAGAGTTTTTAAAAAAAACTGAGGGGATAAAGGAGAGGGGTAGAGGGTGATAGGGAAACAGGAATTAGTAAAGCACAGGGTTAATAACTTCATACAAAGGGGGTCAGGGGTTGGGAATCCATTGCAAGGAGCCTATGTACTTAGGCAGGGATCAGTTTGGGCATGCACAGCAATAGGAGGTGCTAGCATGCCTATGAACCAATCAGAACACATAACAATTAGAGAATACATGGAGGTTATGATCCCAGGGGGATCAGGTTTGGGTCATGCACAACAATGTTCAATGCTGTCATGCCCCAAACCAACCACAGATACCAAACACATTGGGTATGGGGATTTAAGGTTCTCAAGCCATGATAAGTAATTAACAGAAGCATTAATTCAGAACAGAAAGGCAGACTTCAGCATGCTTAATAATGAAACTTGGTTAAATACAAACAGGAGGCAAATAAGGATGAAAGAAACAGTAAAGAAACATGTTGTTGCTGATGTTGAAAATTAGTTAGAACATACCAGTCAAGATGCAAATGTAGAGAAAAAATGAGCAAGCTTCCCACAGCCTAGCTTTGGCTTTCAGCCGGCTAGGTAAGGCAGCAATGCAAGTAGCAAAAAAGAGAGAGAGAGATTTTAGTGAGGTGTGTGTCTGAACTCGAGTGTTTTATGCCTTGTGTTCGTGTGTTTGCAAGAAAAGGAGGTGGGTATTTATAGTTTTGAAAACCTGTGAGAAATAAGGCAGTAAATAATGTTCAATGCAAATATGGAAGTAATCAGCAATCAGAATCAATCAACTAAGTGATTCTCTTTTAATTGAGGAATTACTTGTTAATGGGGCTAACATGTTCAAAAGAAGGAAAGAAAGATCAGTTTGTAGGCAGACTGATTATTACCATAAAAGAAAGTAGTAAAACATCAAGTACATAATCGAGTCCAAGTACAGAGATACACTTGTGTGTTTTCTTTTTTTTTTGGGGAAAAGATCCAGCAAGGTCATAAGTAAGGAAAGGGATCAATCACTTTAGCAGGCGAGTAAAACTAGAGTTCACAAAAAGGGAAGTTTTAAAATCAGTCCCAAAATTGAGCATCAGTGAAAGAAGGAACCTCAGCATATAAATAGAATGCATAAACAAAAGACATGTGAGGCCAAGCTATTGGTAAGAGAAACAGCATGCAATAGTAGTACAAAGTCAGTAGATAGCAAATATTCAAAACATGATAGTCAAGTAGGTCAGGTCTCATTGAACCAGTAGTGAAGAAAATAGAGTGTCAGAAGATGCAAAGGGTCTCATAGCATAGTCGAGTTTCCCAGAATTAGTGGAATCACATGAGGAAAAGATGCTGAAACAAAAACCATCAAATCAAGTTAGGCATTTAAACGAGCAGTTTCGACTCAAAAACAATATTCAAGCTTAAAAGATGATAAACAAATAAGTTGAACAAGCAGTTTAGAAACTCGAATAGACCCAAAAGAAAACTAGGGTTTTTCAACATCGATCAAGTTTAAAGATGATAAACAAATAAATCCGACAATATCTAGCAAATAGTCTCAAAAACTCGAATGAACTCGAAGAAATTAGGGTTTTCAACACCAATCGAGTTTAAAGATGATGAACAAGTAAATCAAACAAACATTAACAAATAGCTTCAGAAACTCGAATGAACCCAAAAGTTATTAGGGTTTTCAACATCGATCGAGTTTAGAGGGTGGCAAAAAGACAAGTCAAACAAGAGTTCAAACAAGCACACATCTTAAACGTGTTAAAAGTCAGAGAAGAGATTTTGAAATAACTTAACAGGAAAAACCCTAATCGGGAAAGACAAAGAGTCGTTTTGAAGGCAAAATTGAAGAAACTTCTAGAAGATGTTTAAAAGTTCAAGATAAATACAGATATAAAGTAGATCTGAAGGAAATCGGAGAGGATCTTAGAGATTAGGGATTCAGAAGACCCAGAAAAGGTGAGAGAGGCTTCGAAAGTTACCGATATAGACATGGGAGTCAAAGGTCTGACTCGGGTGGCCATGGCTGGCCGGAGAAGGGTCAGAGACGACCGGAGAACAGTCATCGAACAAAGGCTGGACCAAGCCTCCTCAGAATCTGGTCATGAGACCACAGGAGACAAGCACGTAGAAGCCATATGAGGCTGATACAGGTCTTAGGCGACCATGGAAAGCCATAGATTAGGGTAGATTATGGGGGCGGTGGCTAGGGTTTGATGTTGTTGTAGAGAGGATTTGAGAGAGGAGGGGAATGCAGAGGCGGCGTAGGGTAAAAATGGAAGGGTTTGGGGGGTAGTTGGGAATTAATTTAGGTAAGGGCAATTTTTGGCCGTTGATCTGAGTGATCAACGGCTTGGATTGAACGGGTAAAGGGGCGTTTAATGAGACTGGGTTTGGGTCGGTTTTAATCGGGGTTGGGGTCGGGTATGAGTAGGAATTGGGCCAGGGTGATTGGGGTTCAAATTGGGCTACAATCGAAATAAAATGGGGCTAACATTTAAATAGCCAAATTTTCCTATTTGATTTATAAAAAATAGTAAAACAGTTTCTAGAAATCAATTAGTGGTACTAAAATGATTTATGACACATAATTGATTATTTAAAAATACCGGACTTAATTTTATGAACATAAATGTAGTTAAATCTTGAAAGAGGCTAATATTGCAATTATATGCAATTTTGCTTTAAAAATACTAAATAAATTTGGAAAAATATGCAAAAATTCCCTTGGCTATATTTTAGCATAGATAAAAAAGTGCAATAAGTGAATCACCAAAAAATGATAATTTTGGAAACAATTACTGAATTTATGGATAAAAATAGGAGAATAATAGATAAAAAAAATCTTTTAAAATTAAGGAAAAGTAATGAAGCACTTGGATATATGCATATATATCTATACCANAGCAGTTTCGACTCAAAGACATAGGTTTCCTTAAACAACATTCAAGCTAAAAAGATGAAAAACAAATAAGTTGAACAAGCAGTTTAGAAACTCGAATAGACCCAAAAGAAAACTAGGGTTTTTCAACATCGATCAAGTTTAAAGATGATAAACAAGTAAATACGACAATATATAGCAAATAGTCTCAGAAACTCGAATGAACCCGAAGAAATTAGGGTTTTCAACACCAATCGAGTTTAAAGATGATGAACAAGTAAATTAAACAAACATTAACAAATAGCTTCAGAAACTCGAATGAACCCAAAAGTGATTAGGGTTTTCAACATCAATCGAGTTTAGAGGGTGGTAAACAGACAAGTCAAACAAGAGTTCAAACAAGCACACATCTTAAACATGTTAAAAGTCAGAGAAGAGGTTTTGAAATAACTTAATAGGAAAAACCCTAATCGGAAAAGACAAAGAGTCGTTTTGAAGGCAAAATTGAAGAAACTTCTAGAAGATGTTTAAAAGTTCAAGATAAACACAGATTTAAAGTAGATCTGAAGGTAATCGGAGAGGATCTTAGAGATTAGGGTTTCAGAAGACCCAGAAAAGGTGAGAGAGGCTTCGAAAGTTACCGATCTAGACAGGGGAGTCAAAGGTCTGACTCGAATGGCCATGGCTGGCCGGAGAAAGGTCAGAGACAACCAGAGAAAAGTCATCGAGCAAGGATTGGACCAAGCCCATTCAGAATCTGGTCATGAGACCACAGTAACAAACACATAGAAGCCATAGGAGGCTGATACAGGTCATAGGCGACCATGGAAAGCCATAGATTAGGGTAGATTAAGGGGGCAGTGGCTAGGGTTTGATGTTGTTGTAGAGAGGATTTGGGAGAGGAGGGGAATGAAGAGGCGGCATAGGTTAACAAATGAAAGGGTTTGGGGGGTAGTTGGGAATTAATTTAGGTAAGGGCAATTTTTGGCCGTTGATCTGAGTGATCAACGACTTGGATTGAAAGGGTAAAAGGGCGGTTTAATGAGGCTGGGTTTGGGTCGATTTTAATTGGGATTGGGTCGGGGTTTTGATAGGATTTGGGCCAAGGTAATTGGGATTCAAATTGGGGTCCAATTTAGGCTATAATCGAAATAAAATGGGGCTAACATTTAAATAGCCAATTTTTCCTATTTGATTTATAAAAAATAATAAAATAGTTTCTGGAAATAAATTAGTGGTACTAAAATGATTTATAATACATAATTGATTATTTAAAAATACCGGACATAATTTTATGAACATAAATGTAGTTAAATCTTGAAAGAGGCTAATATTGCAATTATATGCAATTTAGCTTTAAAAATACTAAATAAATTAAAACAAATATATGCAAAAATTCCCTTGGCTATATTTTAGCATAGATAAAAAAGTGCAATAAGTGAATCACCAAAAAATGATAATTTTGGAAATAATTACTGAATTTTATGGATAAAAATAGGAGAATAAATAGATAAAAAAATCTTTTTAAAATTAAGGAAAAGTAATGAAGCACTTGGATATATGCATATATGCATATATATACCATTTTGAAGCTATATTTTCATATTGAAAAATAGATAGGGAAAAATTGGGTGTCAACACACCATGTATGGAAAATGTATTTTGATGGGGCTGTCAATATCAAGGGAATTGGGATCGGGGCAATCCTCATCTCACCTATTGGACATCATTACCCTGCAACGTCTCGACTTCGGTTCTTCTCTACCAATAATACGAAGCTTGTATCATGGGTCTGAAGATGGCCATCGATATGGATGTGCATGAACTATTGGTTATGGGAGATTCCGACTTGCTTATTCGGCAAGCCCAAGGCGAATGGGAGACTCGAGACATCAAGCTTATTCCGTACAGACAATGTGTGCAAGACTTGAGCAAAAGATTCAAATGCATCGAGTACAGGTACATTCCCAGGTTTCACAACGAGCTAGCCGATGCCTTGGCTAATTTAGCCCTGATGCTCCCTTATCCAGGAAACACTCATATTGATCCACTAGAAATACAAGTTCGGAATCAACACGGTTATTGCAATACAATTGAGAAAGAACCATATGGTGAACCATGGTATCATGACATAAAACAATTCCTGAAAACAAGAGAATATCCAGAGCATGCCAAGGGAGATCAAAAAAGAACTATAAGGCGGCTTGCCAGTGGTTTCTTCCTGAATGGGGAAATTCGGTACAAGAGGACCCCGGATTTAAACTTGTTGAGATATGTCGCGCCCCCTTTTTCTCGCGAAATCGAGTTTATGACATTTAGGAGGACAACTCGTTCCCTTTTAGGAATTGGGTTTAATGGAATTGAAGAGTCGCCACCTAATGATTTAAGTGCATTAGGACACTTTAGAAGAGCTTGATTTTGGATAATTAGAGATATGGTAAGGGCTTGAATTATTCCAAGGGGGAAGGTGTTAGGCACCCCTCAGAATCTACTAGTGTGGTTCCCGGCCAAGCTATTGTTGTGACTTAAGTACAAATAACACATAGGCAAGTAGGACTTCAAATAAGAGGGGATTTTTTCACATAAAGGTTAGAAATAAACAAAGTCGGAAAGCATTAAAGAGAGTTGATTTAGAAGAAACGTTTAAAGGATTTAAAAGAAACAAAGAAACAAAGGGAAGAGGGTCCTAGGTTTATTAATAATATGGATCACCACACACAACATCCGGTAATCACTCTTACGCGTGATGTTATCGCGTGGTCATCATATCTATATCTACCCTTTCCCACCCCTTTAAGGTATTAAAGCACGGAATGGTCTCGTTTACTTAATGCATGCTATTACCCGCCCCAATCCTATCAGTCCCGGAGGTACTTGGGACTACTAATCCTAAAGGGAGGGGTCGTTGGGATCATTTGTGGTTTCAAAAGGTAAAAATACTAAAGCGACAAACAAAACACATATAGCAAGTTTGGGGAAGCATATAAACAAATAAAAAGTCTCAGACAGACCTCCTTTAAACCAAAGAAGCACATAGTTTAGCATGTCTTGCACGTACTGTTTAAGGTCTAATTAAAACTTAAAGATTTGAGGCGGACTGATTTATTGCATAGTTCAGATAAGAAGCCCGAATCAGGCCTGCCTGCTGGTTGTAGCTTGTAAAACCTGATTCAGTTTATAAGTTATCCTATGGCTTTCCTAAGTGATAGACGAAAACCTATGGGCATGATATCTACAGATTTCAGAAACTAGAATATGAACTGATTACATACTGATTTAAGAAAAGTTGCCAGTTAAAAGCGAGTTTTAGAAGTGCACAAGTTCTGCCATTGGTAACACATTATTACTGCTAGTTTTGGACTTATAAACGAGTGAGGTGATTCATATTCGGTTAAAGCTCCTATAGGCATACTTTCTATGCGTTTGTTGACTTTAGAACACATTTTATAGACATAGTAAAAATGCAGAAACCCTATAGGCATGACATCTAAATGCTGGGATTTATATGAACATGACATCTGATTGCGTTTGGTTATTAAGACCTATAAACACGTTTTCCTAGTGGGAAGTGGATATGCAAGAATCAGAAAGGACCTATAGGCATATTCTCTACATGCATATGCATCCTATAGACATGGTATCTATACATGAGAGTGCAGAAATCCTATAGACATGTTATCTACGTATGAGAATGCTGAAATTAGAAAATCCTATAGGCATGTTATCTACATGAAAGAATGCAGGATTCTTATAGGCACGGTATCTATGTGAAAGAATGCAGAAATTCCTATAGACATGGTATCTATGTGAAAGAATGCAGAAATTCCTGTAGGCATGGTATCTATATGAGAATGCTGAAATTAGAGATCCTATAGGCAGGTTATCTACCCTTTGCATACATGGTTAACCTTCCCTTTTTCACTAGCCAACCCCGAAAGTTTTATTACAAAGTTATTACAGCCCAGAAAAGTAAAATAAAGAAAAATATATCATAAATTAAAAATTACAACCAAGGAGAGCCTGATTCAGACTTCATGTCTGAAGTACGAAGTAAACCAACTCCAAAGATCAGATTTCAAAGTCTTTCTCTCATTTGAGGTGTATCAGAGTTCCCTAAAAGTCTTACATGGATTCCGAGCAGTGCTTACACCCCAAATACATTACCAGACTAGGGCATAGTGCAGTGTGGAAGGGCCAGCCCTCAAGTGTCCAAGTTCAGAGGGAACTCAAGGTCCCAAGGCAAGGCCCACAAGAGGGGGGAGAAACTTAGGAACTAAAAGAGAGTGCAAGTGTACAAGTGGAATTCTGAAAGGGGAAAAGGAAGAGGGAAGCAATTCACATTAACATGCATAGGGGATAGGGAATGAGGGAATTTGCAAGAGCAAAAGAAAAGCGGGCTGATGGGCACACCCAGCAATGGGATATGTTGGCACACCCTCCAACCTGTTTATATAGAGGTTAAGACCCCATTGGGTCAAACTTAATTCATGGACAACAATTCATGTTGCCATGCCTTAAGCTACAACTCTCAAATACATAGGGGCAATAGGGTAGGGGAGCAAGGATTCATAACAGAAACAGACAGAAAGATATGAGCATACTTAACTTAAACAGAAACAGTAAAGTAGACATGGATAAAAGCTGTAAATGAACACATTATGGTGATGCTGAAACTTAAATTAGGACATACCAGTTTCAAAGAAACAAATAGAGAAAATGCAGTAGTCTTGTAAAAGCCACAGTGCAGACAAGAAAGAATGCAAGAGTGTAGAAGAGATTGTGAATTGTGAAGAGGAGGATTGTTAAATCATGTGTGCTATGTGTTAAAGAGTAGTGTATTTATAGTGTAAGAATCATGAGGAAATAAGGTAAGAAAATAGTTGAAGAACTGATTGTCAATCAATTACACAAGACTCCCTTTAATTAAGGGATTCAGATTCGAACGGGTAAAAACCAATTAAGGAAAAAAATTGAATAAACACTTTGTTCACAACATGCAATTAAGGGCACATACATAAAAAGGTTATTTAAGGACAAGGTTTTGAAGTACACGATTTGTGCAAATAAGGTAAGAAGATCAATTAACCACCAGTAAATCAAATGGTCCGAGATTTTGTATGAATGAACCAAGTCAGAAAAAGTGAAGAAGGGTTTTACTTAGGTCGAGTAACAGAGAAAATCAGTAAACAATGGAAAGAAATCAATCAGGCTATATTCAGAAGGAAGCTTGAACTAATTGCAAATTCGAAAACCATTTAGAGGGAAATTCATCATATATAAAGAGCATGTGAGCATGAAATAAGACTGGCATGTTACTGTAAAATCTATAGAGAAATCCAGTGTAGAGTTTTAGTAAAAAGGTCAAAATCACATGAAAACAAGGAAGCCCCAAACTCAATTTAGAGTCTTGAAGTTGGTCTGAAAGAATTAGGGGTTTTGAAATAAAACCCTAGTTCAATCAAATCCTACAATCAAACTTGGCGGAATCCCCAAATTCTAGGGTTTCCACCTTGCATTAAGTATAGAGATGAGAAGGCAAGTAGTCGAAACAGGCTCAGAGGTTTCAGAACTAAAACCTCTTGCATGTTCCTTTCAGCAGCAGAAACTCATCAGAAAACATGATAGCAAAGTAACATGCAAACACAGTAGAAGCATTCAAGGAAAAATAAAGGAAAAATACTGATAGGAACAGTAGAAGAAGCATGCTTAAAGAGGCTTTCTGGAAGAACTTTAAACAGGGCTCAGTATAAGGAAAATAGTAAAAACACTTAAGAACACAGTAGAAAAATATAGTAGGCGAGACATAACAGAACACGGTAGAAAAGCCTAAATGAACATAGTATAGAAAACATAGTAGAAGAACATACGAGAACATGGTAGAAGAAAAAGCACAAGAGCATAGTAAAAGCATACGAGATAATAATATAGGAAAGCACAGTAAGAGAAGCATATAAGAGCATGATACAAGAACACAGTAGAGACAAATACACACGAATGACAAAGAAAAAATCATAAAAAAACACTTAAACACTTTCCAGAAAACCCTAAATCGGAAAAGAAAGGTTTTGAAAGTGATTTTTGAAAGAAAAGTTTAGGGAAATCGTTTGAAAACTCAAGGAAAGTATAGATACACCACAAATCTAAAGAAATCGGAGAAAACCTCGAAAGGTTAGAGTTTCAAAAGAACCCTAGAAATGAGAAAGGCTTTGAGAGGTCACAGATCTGCGTCGGAGAGGTCAGAACCAGGCTCAAACAACCATGGTACGCTGGAGCAAGGCCGGAGATGACCCTGAGACCTCGAATCGACGGTGGTCTGGATTCAACCCTTCATAGTCAGGCCTTGAATCTTTAGAGATCATGCACGTAGGAGCACCAGGAGGTAGGTGTAAGACTCCTATAGCTTTGATGGCCATAAATTTCGGTGGATCTCAGGGCGGAGGTGGCTAGGGTTAGAGAAGGTTCGAGAGTGTTTGAGAGAGGGGAGGGTTTCAGAGGCGGCGGATAATTGAAAATGATTTAGGGTTGGGGGGTTTGGTAAACTAAAAAGGAAAGAATGCGTGTGAGCCGTTGATCTGTTAGATCAACGGTTGGGATTAAAAGAAGAGGTCCGGGCGGGTAATTTAGGAATTGGGCCGGGTAATTTGGGATTGGGATTGGGTTTAATTGGGGGGTTGTTTCAGGCTAAAATTGAAATGGTTAGGGTTAGTATTTAAATAGCCATTTTTTCCCTTTTTATTTTATAAAAATAGCAAAATCATTTCTGGAAACAAATTAAAGGTACTAAATTAATTAATAATGTATAAATATTGAATTAAAAATACTGGAATCAATTTTACAATTATAAACGCAATTAATTCTTAAAATAGGCTAATATTGCAATTACATGCAATTTAGCTTTAAAATACTAAACAAATTTGTAAAAAATGTGCAAAAAATTACCTTAGCCATATTTTGGTACAAATATGAAAATACAATAAATGAATCACAAAAATGATCATTTGGGGAATAATTATTGATTTTTTACTGGTAAAATAGGGCAATAAAATTGGTTTAAAAATCTTTAAAAATTAAAGAGGAAATAGGGAAATTCTTGGACATACTTATATATGCATACCTATGCTATTTGAAAGGTATTTTGTATATAAAAATATACAGGGAAAAATTGAGTATCAACAGCTGCCCCTCTTTACCCGGGAAGGATGAAAGAGTTCGGGTAAAGATACGATGGCAAATTTTGA